ACAGGGACTCTTAGTATGAGGTCAAAACAGATGTTGATAGAAGTGAACCAAACAGTAGATTCAGAGGCAGAATAAAAGTCTTTATCATCAGTCCAGAAATTCTTTGGGCAGAATAAACCATGATTAACTTGTACCGGAATGATGGGAATAGAAAAGTACAGAGGAGAAAGGGAACATTTCATGATCTGAAGCATACTGCATGTATGTCCAATACGACTTTACGGCATGGCATACAGCATGTATGGCTGTGGAACCGGATCACTATTGTTTTTTGATGATGTGACTGCTGATAGAAGGAGGAAATGCAGCATTTGATGATGTCTGCATCTCAATCACATCTTAATTCATTTAAAATTTACTGTGGTGATGTACAGGGACAAAATTACATGTATATATGCATCTAAATATTTATGGACCTAACTGTATATTGCTCCAGTGTCCTCAAAGAGGTCTCACACTAGCTGAAGTACATTCAGAATTCTTTCCAAAGGTGTTTCCAGGTCGTGTAATTTCCTAATGCCGCTTACATTTTCTCGATCTCTCTGTCCTTGCAGTGGGGATGGAGGAGTTGCAGGTGATTAAAAAGGAGCTGACTCTGATAAAGACACAGATCGATGGGCTGCTTGACAGTCTTGACAGGATGGACACACAGAGGAATGACCACAAAGGTGAGACACTCATTCAGAAAGACAGTGGAGTCCGGTGGCTGTAAGATCGAATGATAGATAATCCATTTGCACATCAGAATCATTTTAAGGAGGACTCCGGCAATATGCCACGTTCAGATTCCTGCTTGATTAGCTCCTCCAGTCACAACCCCAATCAAAACGATTCAGGATCTGTACTGCAGGGAAACTGGGGGATGGGAATGCACTGCATGGATGGAGCCACTCTTATTTTACCTGACAAATCAATTATTTTCCCCCAGTCAGGATCTTTTAAAAAGTTGAATCCAGGCTGTCGGGGGAGAGGTGTATAGATTTATGGTTGGGATCAAATTATGGAACATGCTGAACAAACAGCGTGGTTGAAGTAACTGACTGATGAGACTTCTGCAAACGCAAATAATCAAGTACTGTGAACGGCAGCCGATCGCTACACACAGAAGGAAGTGCTGTTGCTGCCCTCATGTGGACATCTCCAGGTCACTGCAGCTGGCTACGAAAAAACGTCTCAGGGAATAAAGGACAAAGCTCTATTGTCCTCCTTAAGGAAATTATTTTAGCCTCTGCCTTAATTAAACCGACCATAACTGAAACACTGAGTTTACACCACTCCCTCTCACTTGATGCAGTTCAACCTCCTCTGAGCTCCCAACCCCTCAGTCACTGCTACACTTAAATGTTGTTGAGTGAAGACAGTACTTTAACCTTGAAACCATTATCACAACATTCGACTAAAAAAACAGTCCTGGACAACCTTCATTTTACTATCTGTGGATTTGCACCTGCAAAAGTCTGTGTTAAAACTCTCCTGTCTACTTTGATTGACCTTGGCTGATAGATAGCTCTCATCTTTATATTAATTTATCTCCAGCTTTGCTTCATTCCCCTGTCCCTCACTGTCTAGCCTTGCCGTCTCTCATCTCCCTCTCGCTATCATCACATCTGTCCTTCATCTTGTCACTCCCACTCATTTTTCTACCTGTCATCTAGTATAAAATCAGAGAACACGAATTTTCTTCAATACGCTGTGCGAACAGCAATTAATCTCAAATAAAACTGCGAATGTCGTGTGTACATATGTTTATTCTTTTTCTTTTTTTTTTTCAGGGTCTCCACTGAGAGAGGATAGTCCAGTTGGCTCACCATATGCTGCATCACCCAGCAGCCCAGAGCACTCCCTTTCCTCCCTCTCGCCTCCTAGTTCCCGCCATCGAATTCACAAGGAGAGCCCTGACCTGAGAGAGCCTGACGATGACCACCACACGGTAAATGATGTTTATGAAGCATATGCTAGTTTAAGGGGATACAGATGCTATGACCAAAAAAAGTTTAATATTTTGCCTGGAACATTATTTGGGTCTCTGTTAGGGCTACATTTTGTGAATATGGATGGGGAGTAATGTTGTATAATTGTTTTGTTTTTTTTAGAAAACATTGTTTTTACTTGAAAGTCATACAGGCAAGAAGCCCACATATTTCAGTCTTATGAGTGGCTTGGACATTAAGCAAGACTTTGCTTCTTGAAATCAGCGTATACTGGCATAACAAAATTTTCCTGAGTCATTCTGAGCTGGCAGTTAATGAAACGCCTTCTTTGTTTCCCTCCCACTGTCTGTCTGCCTGTTTGTCTGTCACAGATGAGCAACCACAGCTCTGACCCTGAGGAGGAAATATGAAGGAGGAATGTGAGAAAACGTAAAAGACATGGATAAGGTGCCAAACATGGAGGAAGAGAACCTGAGCCATCAGGCTAACACCCACATCAGAAGCTCAACATAGGATGTACATATCAAATAACATAATGCATTTAATTGAATCACAGCAACTCGTTTAACGTGACCATGATCCAGATACAGATCAATTTTGAGAAGCAAGTACACATACATCCAACTGACCAGAACTTGACAGGCTTACCTAAGAGAGTGACAGATAGACCGTGACCTTGCTGTAACAAATAAACAAAACAGAACGATGACTTTATAAATTTTACACGTCTACCTGAAATGAACCAGTTCTACTGTATGAGTGAGTTTGCACCAACAGCAACACTCCAGCATGAATCTCAATGTTTCAGCAAAATAGATATGAATCATTAAATCATAATGACACAAACCTGCCAGTTTATTTTGCTCACGTCACAGGCGGTATAAAAGATGGACGTAGCTACCGTGATGTCTCACACTGGTTTCTGAAGTCCTGTTTTGAAGCCTGGAGATGAGCATTTGGCAAACTGGAGAGTGACGTCTCACTTGCTAATGAGCGTGCGATTTCGTACCACAGATAAGCCTCTATTTTGAAACACAGTATTACCCAGGTTTATAAAACAAACAAATTTCTTTTTTTTAATTCAGTGTGACCAAAAATGAGTGACAGAACCCATAAACTGAGCAGGAATGTGTTTACAGGGGTCAAGTCAGAAAGTCATTTTCCCATGGACTTCTAAAGGACCTGAAGTCTTTGTGCAACCACACTGGTGTCTATCAGATAGTATGCAGGTTTTCAAGCACGTCCTCATTAGTTTAATTTTTCAGTTCAGATTGTACTTTTTTACCATGCATGGGTCACTCTGGGTTTTTATTTCTTTGTTTTTACGAAAACAGATGACATAGAGTAATGTCAGACTTTACACACATTAATCATTTATAGATACTGTTAATATGAGTGTTTCTACAGCTGGTTCATCATTTTTTTGGGTTTTTTTCCTTTCCGCTGGAAACAGCAAAATCATTCAGTGTTACAAAATGTCTAAAGGCCTTAAGGACCTTGAAGTAAATCATGCACAAAACACATAGGACTAGATATTAATTAAGCATGGGTTTTTCTCAACCATGTAAACATGCCGCTATTTCCAAATTAACACTAGAACTGGAATATTGTGTGGACAGTATAATGAAAATGAACTCGGTGTTACTTCAAGTATTCTAAACTCTGCACACAGCTCTTTCATTTTTAAACCTTAACTCATATTTTCCAGATATCAGAATTTAGCTGGATAATCACTCAGGAGATAAATGGTTTGTTTTCCACCTGTAGGTATGAGTATGAATGATATACTATACCCATTAAGTATTTTCAGAAGGAAAGAGTATTTTATCTCCTTTAAGTGTATTAGAGTAATGTTATAACTCTCTTCCTCTATGTATTAGACACTTTAAGATGTGCGAAGACCCAGGTCAGTGTAATAATGTGTATTATTGTATACTTTACTGTAATTGTTTAGCCGTACAATTTTAATCTTGCTTTAGGACTTCTGTGTGTTTTTTAAAGAAAATAATGATATTATTATAATTCCTATGGTGTTACATGTTTTTGTTTGCATTCTTAAGATATTGCCAAGTGGAAATACTCATTGTCATTGTAGTAAAAGTATTTTCATATTGAGTATAAACATTATTTGTGGTGTTGTGTTTTTATTCTGAAAGACCGAGGCAAAAGCAGACATTTGATAAGACTTTCCAGCAGCCTGTGAATTTCTGCTGAGTCAGAAAACACTGAAACAAAATATGACTCATTTTTTTTATATATGTCAGAGTTTGAAAAACAAAAATCCACATGCAGCCTTTCCATCAGCAGCTGTCTCTTTAGAAAGCTGGATTAGCCTGTGAGAGATAATTAAGAGAGAAAGGGAAAGCTTTACTAAGCTGAGATACAGAGGCCACGTGGGGAAAATGGCCAGGTTTCAGTTTAATTTAGGCCATAGGTCACAAGGACCTGATAGGGTACTAAAAACTAAGACATGTAAAAATCTTTTGCTCTCTTTTTCTCATCAGTAATAATATGAATGATTAATAAACAAACATGAGATGAAGACATGAAGTGAAATGTAGCCAAATAGGACAGCCTGGTGATTTTTAGTGATTGATGATGCACATTAACCACATTGCCATCTTGCGCTCTAATGTCAGCATGTACCTGATGATATAGTTTGATATGGAAGCATCAGAAAAAAAGAACAGCACTGCTAAAAAGTCACCATTATGAACTGTGAAGCAGAGCTCTGCTGTCAACAATAAAATCAACAAGCCTTTATATTTAACAACTCTGATGCTGAACTCCGGGAGCTGAATTTGAAGCTGGAGGTTAAGGTTGAGTGGTTCATATAAAATTATGTTGTGAATATTCTTTTGTGAAATTCAAGCAGGGGGAAGATGTGAGAATGCAACTTTGTTACTTTTAATGCCATTTACTGTGCTAATCTGCTCGGCCCCAGAGGAAGCAACTTTAATCATCCAAGTTCAAAGTGCTGAAAACGAAGTGTGACAAAAGGAGCTCTTGCATAACTAGCGTGCTGTTGACAAAAAGATAAGCACATGTGAACTGAATGTCATACTGAAGAGGACAGTGTTCAGAACTTTGTGGGGGTTTTGTAATAAAGATCTGAAGCTGTTACATATACACCATAAAATTACATTACTCAGTAAAAAGCTGCAAACCCAGAATTTTTATTCCTCAGTGCTCATGAGCGCTTCCAGGCTGCAGCAACTGAAGAGTCAGATTTTGCCTGATAATAAGGTAAGTGTAACATTTTAAGAAATACATGATAAAACTGAAGATTTGTGATTTTAAAATAAAGTGAAACAGCATTATATAGTCGATAGGTTGTTATGTACTATAACTTATGGCTGAGGTGACATTAGTTTTAGTTAACAGTTCAATATCAAATATAACAAAATATGCTATTTTTAATTATTGAACACAGTCTTGTGGCAAATTTAAACCAAGGGTTCTGCTGTGGTTGCTGTCTAAAATCTTTAAAGTGCCAAAGATAGTTTAACATTGCAAGAACTCACTGGTGCTTTAAGAAAACTACACCAGCACCAGTATCTCATTTGTAAGATGCAAATGTGTGGATATAGTTTCATCTTAATATTACTATTTTAATGTGATTCCTCCATATTAAGCTGCTCTGTTTAAAGTCCTATGTCTTCGGTCTGTAGCTCACAGCAATGTCAGAATCACCTAGTCCTCTGACCACACATGTGCTGAACACTGCAATGGGTGTCCCCGGGTCAAATATGGCCCTCAGCCTTTATCAACAAGACCCCTCCACAAACACCTGGAATTTAATCACCACCGGGTAAGAACCTGGAAAAAAAAAGCATCACCAAGAAACCTATAATTAGTTGAAAATCTCAAAGACTGCTGTAAAAGTTGATGTCTTTGTGCAAAGCTCTTCGATCTTATGCTTTTTGAACAGGACCACTAATGATGATGGACGTTGCCCTGGACTTATCGCAAAACAATCATTTAAATCTGGTGTGTACAAAATGCATTTTGAGACGGCTCAGTATTGGGCGAGTATGGGAGAGACCTGCTTTTACCCGTATGTTGAGGTGAGGAAATGCTAAAACTGTTGATATCTCACGATTTACTTGTGGTGTCATCACAATTTTTGAGACTAAATCGGTAAATTTGTGTCCAATTTAAACCATTTGTATGGGCTTGAATATTAATCTTATCTCTGTAATCTTTCTGTTTTTCTTCTTGAAGATTGTCTTCACCATAAATGACCCTGGGCAAAAGTACCATATCCCTCTGCTTCTGAGTCGTTTCTCTTACAGTACATACAGAGGGAGCTAGATATCAAGCAAGAGGAACCTCCTGAGATTACTCCACCTGTCAGCTGTTTGACACATCACATGATGGCACTGAATGAACTGTCACACATATTGGACATATTGACAAGGCACAATACTCCATTTCAATTATTCTTTTTGTTGTAATAGTGCCACAATACCATATTTTCTTTCTTTAAAAAAACAAATAAAAAAACTTATTAATATATGCTGTACTTTAGTCTACCATATCAATTATTGTAAGCTGTTATTTTAAGATGTGTAAGGTCTAAACGATCAAATAATACATCTGTCTAAATCACCAGTTTCTGTATGTGATACAAATTGAAACATATTGATTGATCAATTGTGTTACATGTGCACTGCCTTTAAAAAGACAGTAACCTTCAAGAAACCCCTCCAGGTCCTGTGAAACCTGAGAGTATATCATCACAAGAACCATACAAATCGCTGTAGGATAAAGTTAAGATTTTTCATATTTCCAGTTAGAGATCCTTCTTTCAGTATTACCCCTATGAGGTATAAGTAATTATTGGTGGTAACTTTGGCCACAGCGCTACCCTAACCTTATATTTTGGAGAAAAATCAAACGGACTTCCTGGGAAAAAATGTTATAATGATTGCCAAGACACTTTACTTTTTTTTTTTTTTAAAGTAAACAAGTTTACATATAAAATGCACATACACATACAATTACATATACAAAACCATGAGCACATACAAAAGGGAGAAACAAGGAGGAAAATCTAGCATCTGAGTCCACACAACGTTCACAAGACTTACAGTTTTGACACTTTACCCTACCGCCTACTGGTGTTGGCCAGAGGGGCCGATGGCGCGATATGGCAGCCTCGCTCCTGTCAGTCTGCCCCAGGGCAGCTGTGGCTACAACCGTAGCTGCTTCCACCAGTGTATGAATGTGAATGAATAGTGGCATTGTAAAGCGCTTTGGGTGCCTTGAAAAGCGCTATATAAACCCAATCCATTATTATTATTATTATTAAGACTTGGGAGAATAAAATATATAACTTCAGAGGCATAATGATACAGTGCACGACTGAGTGAGCCTGACTCTCTCATTGATTGATCGAGCCTGTCGGATCTGTTTTTCTGACGTCGATTATCCTTCCTTCAGTTAGGCTGGGCCTAGCCTGTGATAGCAGTTTAGTGGGAATTTTATTGCGATACACCATCCCAGTTTTGACTTTTAGGTCAATATTACGGTTATAAAAAATGGCAGACGAAGAATTAGAGGCGATTAGGCGGCAAAGAATGGCGGAGCTACAGGCAAAGCAAGGGGTAAGAACCGAATAGGCACCGGAAAGCATGGTTTCACCCGCCTTATATGGAGATGCTGAGTTCAGTATACTGCTAGCTAGTGTAGCTAAAACAAAAACAAACCACCACTTAACTCTAACTTAAGGGATATACACAGCTAACTTAATGAGCCTCATGTTTGGTGCAGATGATATTTGCTTCCTCATCTAGATGTGTTAACATCACCATAGTGCTAGCTTTGTATCAGTCAGCGCTTACCCCTCTGAAAATCAAAGCGCTGGCTTGTTGGAACAAAATTGAACAAATTTTTAGACTTGCTACTGATGGAGTGGTCGTTATGCTTCCTCCTTTCTACAGATAATTTGTGTGTGTGTGTTTATCTAAACTTTGACATTAGCACAGCATGTGAGTAAGCGGCAGCAATTTCTGACGTGTTTGGTGAACTGTCAATAGTCTAATACATTACCATATGTCAGAAATAAGTATTTATACTAATTCACATGCAGTGCAGTGATTAGAGAGTCCTCACGTGTCTGGGTTTCTGTCATTGTTTTTGAAAATATTTGACACTCATAAATTTCTATTTTATGTCTTTTTGTGACCTCAAAAAATACAGTGATCAGTGGGTTTTAAATCTCATTGATGATATCCAACTTACCTCAAGAAGACTGTAATTGGAACTTTTCACTGAATGTGCCTATATATAAATCTGTCATATGAGTTTTGTTTGTTTGTTGACAGTAGTCTAACTTTATTTGTTACAAAATAGAGAACATACTGGACTTCAATTCATTTTCTAGAGTACCTACCATTAAAAAAATATCCAAAGCAACAAATTTACAAACTCGATTAAAGATAAGCCATTATGGTATACTTTGCTATACTGGTTTAAGTAAAATATAGAATTTTTAAAAACAAAACGAAGAAACTTGAAAACATAACCGAAGAGATTGCTCTCATGGTCCTTCTTGTATCGTCAGACCTGAAAATAACAGCGAATAAGTTACTTTATCAAATTTTCACCATTACCAACATTAAAGTACTGTTTGATTGGTGGATGGAATAAAATAAAATGTCTACCAGTTAGCTGAATGTATAAATAAAATCTGTATTTAATGGTGCTGTCCTGTATACTTCCAGGAAGGTAATAATCAGCAAGCAGAGGAGGCCAAACAAAGGTACGATGTGTAATTGATCAAAAAAGAAACTACTTTAGCTGAATTTTTCCTGTTTATAGTACTTGTACTTGCATAAAGGACTGTTTTTTTTTTAAAGACTAACTGTTATATGCCTTAAGTATTGCACTTTTTTTGTAACTGAACTAAAATATTTCCATACAGCAGAAATGTGTATATATACCTTCAGTTGAATATATTTTTTCCTATTTAACTCAGTCTTATTTATATAGTGCCAAATTACAACAACAGTCACCTCAAGGTGCTTATTATTGTAAGGTATAGACCCATTACATTAATACGGAGAAACCCCAACAATTAGATGAGCCGCTGTGAGCCAGCACTGAAAGTTTTTGACATATATGTAATATCTAAACTCTCAGTGTAGCTGACCAACCTGGTATTCTTACTGCTTAACTTCTATATAAATGCAGTATCTTTTTGTTTTCTTTTAGTTGGTCTCAGTTGACCAATGTAATTGTTTTCTAATTACAGAGAAACAGATATGAGGAACTCCATATTGGCTCAAGTTCTAGACCAGTCTGCCCGTGCGAGATGTAAGTGTGGTTTCATATACTGTATATCCTTCATCCTAATAAAACTCCTCTTTGGAAATTAATAGTGCTGTCTCATTGTATTTTATTTTTTAGTGAGCAATCTTGCCTTGGTGAAGCCAGAAAAGGCAAATGCAGTTGAAAACTATCTCATTCAAATGGCTCGTTTTGGAAAGCTGGGAGGAAAGGTAAGAAAGTACAGACATGGGGAAAAAGTTTTCACAGCACTCTCTGCGATCCTATGAAAAACGAAATACACCCCACCATTCAGTATCTTGTAAAACCACCTTCAGCCAAGCTATAGTTGCCAGGCAGATTTAGCACTATAATATTTCCGTGTACAGTGGAGTTTGCAGTTAACTCAACTGCAAGGTGCCTGCATGGTGCCAGCAAAGTGCCAAACTTCTGCTTTCAGAGGTGGTCACACGACTGACGATCATTTAAGTTCATTTAAGCAGCAAGAGTGTATGTAGTTTTTCACTATGCATTCCTCTCAAAACTCTTTTTTTCCTCAAATGACTTTAACTTTGAATGCTTCTAGCAAAACATATTGAATAAACTCATTTCCACTTTTGTCAGATTACAGAATCAGGCTTGATCGAGATCCTAGAAAAAGTCAGTCAACAAACAGAAAAAAAGACAACCGTTACAGTAAGTTTCTCTGAAATGTCACATACATTTGATTTTTTTTCCTGTAATTTATATGTATTACATTTCTAATACACTCTACTTGACAGTTCAACAGACGGAGGGTGATGGACTCGGATGATGAGGACGACTATTAACTTTCAACAGGAGCTCTGGAATGAGCAACCAAATCAGAGCAGTTGACATGCTTTGCTGGGACTCTGACAGGATCGCTGACTAGTGTGTTCCTGTTAGCTGAACCCTGAGATGCCACACTAGCTTCTGTGTGTCTTTGGAAACTACCAACCAAGATGGAAAACAAGGACTTTGATATTGCAGCATTTGGTGGGATTGTTGAACACAATGTCAATTAACATTTTATTTTGTAAACTCTTCAATCTAGATGCTACAAATTTTTACTGCTTATCTGACAGCTCATGGCACTGTTTGACTCTCCTAGTCCATCTCAGTAGTTTCCTTTATTTTCACCACGGTTCATGCATTTTCTTCAAACATTAGAAACTAGTTAAAATGCAGATGATACTGATGTTAATGCATTTTATGTGGGTCATCTCTTTAATTGCCATCTAGGCTACTATCCCATTAGCTGTTATTCTAGGATTCTTGTTGCTGATGTGTACCTTGAGGGTTCACATATAATTAAATGAGCCTTAAATTGAAATGTTTTTCCTTATTAGTGGACTGTTTCTAAAATTGTCCTTCACCATTTAAATGAGTGTTAAATCTTTCTTTTTTTTTTTAAGTTTCCATTTAGAATTAAACACAAATTGTATTCCACTGACTTGAACATCAAATATCACAACATCAATACACAGTAACGTCCCCACCATACAAAGGTAGACTGTCAGTCTATGGAGGTGGATAATTGACTCTGGACTTTTTGCTTTATAAATAAGTTCACATTTTGACATTCAATTCAGAAGCAGGAGTTAACAGACTGCCAAATGTATCCAACAACTTTTGAAATAAAATGCAAAATGAGGAAATTTGTTTTATATTAATATACTTTATTATCTCTATAAAAGTCTGTCCGAAATCACTGTAGTCACCATACTGACAGAACTGTTTTTATCGGGGTCAGTACCAATAATGATGTACAGTATAAGAAAGCATTTAATGTACCTCAGTTGTTCATTACATGTCAAATACAATAACCGAGTACCTTTTCAGCACTAAATCCTGCAGCTTATCTCTAATTCACAATAGTCATTTCCTGCCTGAGCACTTATTAAGATTTTTAATTCATATTGCGTTTATAATTCAAAATTGCGTTGACTTGAATAAACCCTAACACCGACGACAGGGGTCTGGGTTGGTCTTACGCTTGCCTCATTTTCACACGACCGTGGTCAGATGATTTCTTATTGGCTATTTAGAGTTCAGTACACTCAGCCCGACTCTGATTGGTGCTCGGGTTAGTCACATGTTCATCACTAACCAATCCGGTGAGTCTGCTAGGAAACGCTACAGTAAGGTGCAGGCAGCCACGCTGAGAGTGCTAAACTCGGGGAGAGGGTTGTACAGTGTGTTTTAAAAAACATTCAGGTAGTCTTTTTATTAGTGTATATGCAGAGCCATGCCGGAGGACAGAACTGAGCAGCCACATATAGTTACATGTACCGCTCCAGTGAATATAGCTGTCATTA